ACACACACACACACACACACACACACACACACACACACACACACAGTGGTACCTTGGCTCATGAACTTAATCTGTTCCAGGACTCTGGTTGTGACCCAAATTGGTCGTGAGCCAAGTTAAATTTTCCCATAAGGTTCAATGTAAATAAGTTAATCTGTTCTATAACCATTTTTTAAATCAGAAAAATGTGAATCAAAGTGACAACAATAAAGATTGCATCCCTCTCCCCCCCACACCCCCGCCAAGCATAAGTGCGGCCATCTCTCCACCCCTCCCCCAGCACGACCAAGATCGCGCCTGTCATCCCTGCATGCGCCCATCATCCCAGCATGCTGGGGGGTGGGGGGGGAGAGACAGGCGCTCACGGGGGAGGAAGAGACGGGCGCAAACGGGGCGCGCTGGGGGAGGGAGAGATGGGCACGATCTTGGCCATCTCCCCCCGCCTGCCCCCAGCACAGTCGTGGCCTCTCCCCACTCAGGGCGGTGAGGAGATGGCTGCGATCGTGCTGGTTGAGGGGGAATGGCCAAGATTGCACCCATCTTTCCTGCAGGAGTGCGCCTGTGATCATGCACACCTTCCCTGCATGAAAGCAACTGTGATTGTGGCCACCTCTCCACCCCACCCCCGAGTGGGGAGATGGGCACGATCGCAGTTCTGTTTGTGCAGGGAAGACGTGTGTGATCATGGGTGTGCTGCCGCAGGAAAGACGGGCACAGCGCAGCACAGCCGCGGGAGAGATGGCCGAGATTGCGCCCGTCTTTCCTGCAGGAGTGCGCCTGTGATCACACATGCCTTCCCTGCACAAAGGCAACTGCATTCGTGCCCATCTCCCCACTCGGGGGTGTCGGGGAAGATGGCTGCAATCTTGGTTGCCACCCAATGTGGACTTCGTGATCCAAGTCAAAATTTTAATGAAATTTTTGTTCGTGACCTGATTTGTTCATGAACCAAGAGGTTTGTGAGCCAAGGTACGTGTGTGTCTGTGTGTGTGTGTGTGTGTGAGAGAGAGAGAGAGAGAGAGCGTGAGAATAAAAACACACTTTAAAACATTTCAAAGTTGTTGGACTGTTGACATGTCTGTGTTATTTGCACTCCATTAATATCCTGCCCACTAGCTAATAGATTCCCACAAAAGCTATATACACATCTATGGAAGCCACTTTTTCACTCCCGAGAGGAGGAACTGGATGTAACTGGAAGTGTAAGACAGCACCTAAAAGCAATTGGATAAGAGGTAATAGCACTTTGTGTACAGATGTGGGGAGCTGCCCTGTGCTGAGACAAAATTAGGCCATCTGACGCAGCCTTCTCTGCACCACAGTCGGGAAACCTGTTTTCTCTCAAGGGCCTCACTGCCTCTGGGATACATATTGCATGCCAGCCACACCCTCCCCCTTCTTTTGCGCCTGGGCCCGGCCCTCACGCATGCTGCCAGGGAGGGCCACTCTTACCAAGGATCCAGCCTGGTGGTTTGCAGGGGGCTTTTGAAATCAGGCCAGGATCTGCATGCAGCCCTTCCTTGAACTACATTGACCAGCAGTGGCTCTGCAGGGTGTTGGACAGGAATATTTCCTCCTATTATACAGAGATAATGGGATGAAACCTGGAATCTGCAGGTAACGTATATGCTCTGGCAATGTGGTACAGCCCTTGCCCATTGCTGTGCAGTGGGTTGCAACTGCAAGAGGTGCTCTACAGTATCTCTTCCACCATTCTTGAGTGAGTTGCACCTGTATTCATCTTCAGGAAAGGATAATGGTACTCGTAAAAAGGAAAAAGCATACGATTAGTGTGCAAGTAACTAGAGTTTGCCAACATCTGAGGAAGTTTAGTATTTTGAAACACTTGATCTTTGGAAGTGTATTAAATATTTTCTATTTGACTACTAGCCCCGCCTTCATCATAAAACTTGTCTGAGCCAGGTGGGAGTGCTTGAAATCATTTGCTCATGGTTTCAGTTTGAAGTGAAAACCTGTTCCGCAGCAATACTTCTGTATTCTCCTTGAATGGATGTGGCAGACCTAGAGCCCTGAATATTTGAGACTGCTAGTATTAATCTATGAATGATGCCACATATTATATAACTTATATAAATGTGTCTCTCTTTTAGCTTAAGGTCATAACCTAATGTGGGTGTTTGTGGTTAACCATGTGGAGGTATCTAAAATTTAAATGGCTCCATTATATAAGTAGGTGAGTTTGAGGCATAAAACTATTGGCTAGCCAGAAAATGATTGCATTGCAGAAGCACCTGAAAGCTTTGCAGGGCTAGTGGGCACAGTAGTGTGCACTGCAGGGCTGATCTCACTCACACAACCATTTTGTTTTTCCTTGCAGATTGGCCACATTGAAGGAAAGCCAGAGAGGAAAGGGGTTTTTCCAGTATCCTTCGTCCACATTTTGTCAGATTAAGTCAGATCAGAAACTTGAGCATTGCACATCTTTCCTGTAAGAGGGGCTTTTAGCGCGAGGCAAACAGCTGCTGCATCCCTGTAATTCTGTGCACAATTGTGGATGTATATGTATATATAACGGCTGTTAACTGAACAAGAACTTGTCGCTCACCATATGAGGTGACTTATACTTGCATTGTAAATAGAAGGTGTTACTCTGCCTTTGCCAGTATTATGGTAGCCTTGGGACCTGGCACGCCTTATTGGGTTTGCTCAAGCCATCCTTGGCATCAAAGCACTTACATTTGTTCGTCTGTGTGTATGAACTACCAGCTCTCTAAATATGGTTGGTCTCATTCAGTCCTGTTTAACTGTACAGAAGTTACCATTCCTAATAAATCAGTATTCTTAAAATAGACAACTAGTGGAAAATTAGATTCAGTTTTCAAAACAAACTGCTTTGGCTCATTTACAGCCAGTTTACAGCTACAAATGTACACAATTTACAGCTTGTGAAATCCACTTCCTTGGTATTTGTTCAGAAACAGTGTTCAATGTACACATCAAATGAAAGAAATATTCACTGATGCTACAGATAACTAGTAGTAGTTTATGGTGTGTGAACAGCATTTCATGTTCGTATTACGTATTAGCAGCTTTTCCCAGTGATATTTCCCTCACTTCAGACCATCTAAAAGTCTTCAATAAAATCGTATCTGATGAATGAACGCATATGGGACTTTTGACTGGAGGTTTCCTTTCACTGAAACAGGTTCTCGTATAAAAAATAGTCAGTTCCCATCTGCATGCATTCAGATCCTGCCTTAGAAACTCTAATTATGCAGATAAGCTAAGAACAGCTATCAGCCCTTTGAAAGTTTTTAAACCATGCAAACTTCTGATTGATCCATTTACCATCAGTATTTGTTTGCTAACTAATTGAATTATCTAGAAAATAACTGCACTGTTGAGGATCTGAATGTCCAGTCCACTGGAGGCAATTAAGTCAGTGTTATTTTGTATTTGTATTTTAAGAATTAAAAACTGTTAAAATGGTTATGGAAATAAGTGAAAAATAATCTTTTCCTGCAGTTTCTCAGCTGCTAATTAGTGAAACCAGACAGCAATATCTAGAATTACATTTGCTTTTATTGAACATTAATTATAGCTCATGCTGGAATTCTGAAAATCCACCAACAGTCACAGAACAACGAAGTTAATACCTTACGAAGGGTGTGTTTTAACTGGTGGTTAAAACACCACTGCATTCATTCTTAGTTCTAATGAGTTAATTTCCATTTGTGATATGCTATTTTATTACTGAACATTCTCACGATTATACAAAAACTGGAATGTTCTTGATCTGCTGATGATCAAGTGAATCTTCACTCTGTGACCCCATGTGCTTTGTAGGTTTTTCCGCCAATAATGGCCTCAAGAGGTTGCTTGGGCAATAACACAAGTTTCTTTTCACTTGTGACTCCATGTCAAAACATTGCATTTCACAAAAGCACAGGTTCATTTGAATCACTCTGGATGTTTTACAACCCTGTACTCAGTGAATATTTATTTTTATTTAAATGGCTAACATACAAAACATAGAGAAATCTTGCATGAAGAAAAGCAAAGTATTTATCAGCTATTATTGGAAAGTGGTTTTTAAACAATTGCTTCATCTGTCTCATGATACGTTTTGTTTAAAATACAAGCATACAAAGGAGTGAGATTAGCTCTGCTGTATTGACCAATTACAGTGTTTTCAGACTCATGCTATTTATATGAAACCTAGGACAAGAATCACTTGGCATTCCACACTGGTCATCAGTGCAATGCTCTTCAGATGCGTTAAAGAACAAAACTGATCTTTTTGTCGGGTATATTTTGCAATTATCTCAAAATCCAAAACTGGTTTGAAAAAGGAAAAGCAAACTGTTTAAAGAAGATCCAGATGTGTAAAATGATGTAGAGTCAAATGTCTATTATTTTGTATGCATTTTGAAGTAGTATAATATGATTTTTTAAAAAAAATAAAATGAGTTCCATCAGGAACAAGAGTTGACTATTCTGGATGATTTGAGAGTCCATAGGAGAACTGAATTACAATGTATGATCTTACAGGCTGAGTTTAAGTACAGTTTTGTTGTTAAACTCAGAGCCACTATTCTGCAATTTTGTACATGACATATTGGGAAGTCTGCTTAGTTTGGGGATTCCCCCCAGAAGAGGAAATCACGTTCTGCGAGCGACGTTATTTTACTGTTGAACAACAATTGCTATTTATTTTTTTATGGCACAGAGCATCAACATGTGTAGAAAGCAGATCTGGTAGTGCCACTAGTTGGAAACTGAAGTCGTATTTGAATGTTAGAATCATCATACATCAGCACACTCGTCTCATCATGTGTTTAATGTGACACTTTGAGTACTGTATGTGTTAATTTCTACTTTTTTAATATTTAAAATTGCTTTTAAATAAATGTATTCAGTTGATCCCAGACATCTGAATGGCATTTTATCCAGTACAGCTTGCTGCAGGAGGAAAATGTTACATATCATTCATACATTATGTGTTCTCCAGCATCCATCTTCAATGGATTAAAAAGTTCTCCAGCCACCAGAGGAGCACCTTAATTTGTTCCAGTATTCAGCGAGGGACAGACACAGAACGGAGGAATCCCGTTCGTTCTTCGCCTGCAATTAATGTGCATGCACAGCAGGCAGGTGAAGAGGCAAGTGACACCAGAGAGCACTGAAGTCCTCTTGTAGCTTCGTTCAAAACTGTGTCAGTGGCTTACACATTGTCAGGTAACATGACCACTTTCTGCTCCTTAAGACCAGCCCCCAAAGGTTGTGTGGTCTGAGCTTCTATTCGGTTTCTGTGCTTGTATATACATAAAAAGCATTGCTTAAGAAGCTGGTGCAAAATACCAGTTTATTCACACAGCTGTTTTGCACATATGCTTATCATGCAAAATTGGACTGAAAAACCCTGTTCAAGTCCAGGTGTACCTTTGCTGCAACTATTACGCTGAAAGGGCCTGCCTCTGGGGAAGCAGGAGCTTTGGAGAGATGGCTTGGCTACTGCCTATCATGGGTCCCCAAGTGTGAAAGAACTGGGCTGTACCCTCTAGCTGGGTATGTACTGGTTCTGTCTTGTGGTCCAACTACCTTTAGAATATGTTGCGGGTGCTGCCCATTTATGGATAAAAATAACGCCTCTCTTGAGAATCTAAGCCCAACTCATGTTCTAAATCAAATATTTCACTGGTTAAGTCAAATTATGCAGAAAGTGAACATTAACTTGTAGTCAATCCATTTGAATTACAAAATCCCAAAGGTATTAAAAGGAGGGGTCATTTATTCTGGCATTGTAAGCTTACTAGCTCATAAATAAGCCTGAGATTAGTTTAACATTTTGACGTTTTTATATTTTTTGGGGTGGGGGCAGTCAAAGAAATGGAATATTAGACACTTCACGCCTAAGAAAGACAAAGCACAGGCTCACATAAGAGTAACCACAGAAAGCCTCAGTCCCACAGGCTTCCATTCTGAAAGATAAGAGAGAAGCAAACTCGGGCAAGAGTTCTTTCAGTTCTGAAGGCCAACTTAAATGGAAACTAAAGAAGCAGCTTAATGAAGGTGGTACCACAGCAGAGTTGACGTGACTACAAATCAACTCCACCTCCCACTGCTGTTGCCTGATTCTTTGTTATATACCGTATTTTTCGCTCTATAAGATGCACCCGACCATAAGACGCACCTACTTTTTAGAGGAGGGATCCATGGAGAGCTTCCTGATATTCACAGGCACATTCCCCATCACTTCCCCATGGGCTTCATTAAAAGACAGGATGCCATTTGAAAACATACACTGACCTGTGATTAACAGCTCTCACCTGTGCCAGAGGAGGGGGGCGGAGCAGGGCGCACCAAGCATGTGCCGGCCAGGTGTGCAGCCGGGCCGGCAGCATGCCGGCGGTGGTCTTCCAGGCCGCGTGGCGGCAGGTCTTCCAGGCCAGGTGGTGCCACGTGGTGCAGGCGAGCTGGCAGCGTCCTGGGCGTCGGGCACACACACATCGCTCTATAAGACGCACAGACATTTCCCCTTACTTTTGGGGGGGGGGAGTGTGTCTTACAGAGCGAAAAATATGGTAGATCCCAATTTTTCAGAGCTGCTGTTAGGATTCTTTCTTGGAGACAGGTGAAGCATGGGCAGAAGAGGACACTTCTAGACAAGTGACAACCCTCCAGTTGCACGTTACAAGCTACCCAATGAGCTTAAAAGGAACTAGGGCACTTCCCAGGAAATTCTACTGGGAGTCAGGACTGATGTTAGCACTTAATGGAATTCTTCCCTTTTCCAGACTACAATTCCCAGGATTCTTGGTTTTCAGATTGCACTGTTGATATGGCTTCTTGTGCCCTCATGGGTTAGGTTGCCAGTAAAGATAAACTGGAATTTTCATTATGGTAGTTTTAATGGTGCCACTCTCTAGAGTGCTGGCCAGTGACATAAAACATGCAGAATCATTTACTCTGATGGCTGACCATAGCAAAAGCTTCCAAATGTATGCAAAGAGGTGAAAAAGACATGTAACAACATCATTTTTGATCAGGTGTGCCATATTCACACCTACCAGGATGCAATTCTGTATTGCTGTCAGCTTGGATATATGAGTGTATACAACCCTCCACTCTCTGGATCTCAACATTACCAAGCCATTTCCTCACACCTGACATGTTGGCTACTCATTAGCTTGTCATTGGAAGAACTGTGTTCTCTCTAGTCCAGACAGACACTGGTTGGCATGCTTAGGGAGAAATGCTGATACTATGTACGGCCTTGACTAACTTGATCCATTGGGTGTATCTTGATGGCCCCACTGATAACTGATTCCCATGCTGTAAATCAGCAGCAGCGTATGCTCCCAGAACTGTCTTTTCTTGGATACCCCAGCCTCAAATTCCTCAGACAGCTAAAGCCATCAACACAACTAAGAAATATCAGATAACCAGTAGTCAAGAACAGATTGTTCCCCCATGTTTTATCACTTTCCCCAAACAACAGCAGGGGCAACAAGCAAAAACTCTGGTAGAGGAAGAAGCAAGATTGGTTTTTGCCAAGGCATCCTAAGGGACAAGTTTCAAAACTTGAATACTGAGAACAGAAATGTCTCTAGTTGTTTTGCAAAGATGGTAGCTTGGAACCCAGCTACCAAACTCACATTCTTGCTACCTACAGTCAAGTCATCTCCACCCTACTGCAGCCCTAAGAATGAGCACCCTTCATAATGTCCTCTCCTCGACAGCCATGCTCAGCTCTTGTAAACTCAGTGCTGTGGCCGCCTTGATGGAATCAATCCATCTCATAGTTGGTCTTCTTCTGTATTCAACTTCCCTAGCATAATCGTCTTCTCATGATGAACCTGAAAAACACACGTAGATAAATAGAGATATAAAGGCAATCAGCAGTGTTAGATTTCTGAAATACAGATTTCTCAATGCGCAATCTTGGGCCTGTCACACTCTACTCTCATCAGAAAGATGAGATGATATCAACCAAGGCCTCATGAAATAAGCTACGCAACTAGACACCAATATTGAGTCCAGAAATGCTTGCTAATGAAGGAAATATACTCATGCAAGCCCAGATGCATCCATCTCACAGAAGCGAAACTATCAGGTACATCCAGAGCACAACTGTAAAGTGACCACGAGCATGTGGTTTTTTTTACAAAGTCCCACTACGCAGAAACATCATTATTAGCCAAAGCAAAATGTTAATCAAGTCATCTCATTCACGCTTAAGCTTTCCCAAGATCCAGGCAGAAAAAGAGAGAGAAGAATCAAGGTGAGCGCCAGGGCCGTCTTAACGCATGGGCCTGATGGGCACTTGCCCATGGGCCCCATACTAATCTGTGCATATTAACCCTTGCAAAATTGGAAAACTTCCAAAATTAACAGCAGTTGTAGTATACTGCTTTGCCCGGGGCCCTTAATGCTGTTAAGACGGCCCTGGTGAGCGCGTGGCATTTTTCAACAGCTGTTGAGTAAACATCATTGTCCCCTCCTCAGATTTTTTCCTGGTCCATCACTCGGTGCAGTCCTACATACCTGGATCCAACCACCCCTTAAATTTCCCTCTAAGGCATTCTGGGAAAGGTGACTAAATTAAGATTGGAAAAAGGAGAAACAGAGAAGCCAGCATTGACTGATTTGCACGCTCCAGAAGACCACCTCCTTTGATGGCAATCCGCCTGTTCCTTAAGATCAGCTGCCGCATCTCTCTAGCGGGTGTCACTGTCATCCAGAGCAAAGTAGCGCACAACATGCTCTTCTGCGGAGGTGCCCTTCCCATAGTACTCCCAGGTGTTCCTCCTCTGTTTTGGGCACACCGGCAGCTGAAAGCACTCTTCTTAAACCAGCTTTTGTTTTCTGCTGTTGTTTTAAGTTAACTGATTGTTAGTTGTGGCATTTCTGCTTTCTGATTCTGCTTTTAGTCTGGTCATTGTATTTTTATGATAGGTTATTGTGATATTGATGCTGGTTTTTCATTGTGTAAGCTGCTCTGAGTGAGTCCAGTTTGGAGGGGAAGGGGCTTTTGTGTACTATTATTATTCTAGTTCTTTATTTAAAGTGAGAGGAAACCTCACCTGATGCACTTTTCGCTTGGTTGCTCTTTTGCATTCGGCAATAATGAGAATCAGGGTCAGAGGAAGAATGGGTGCTGGCAAAGAGGCAGGGCCTACAAGGGGAGATTTTTACTTATTTTATTTATATCCACCTTTCTTCCTTCAAGGCAGCTTACACCTTGCCCAGAGATCCCCCAAAACCTGGCACAGAAACAGGGCAAGGTGTGCAACAGTTTTACACACAGGAAATAGCAGTAGCCATGTGTCCTTAAGAGCTGACACAGGAAGAAATTTCCACAGCTGCCGTCGCTCTAGCCTGCTACACCAAGACATGGCAAGATACACCCACCCAGACAAGTATTAAGGGGCCAGGATCCTGTTCTTGCCATCTGGTCATCTCAGACGGGGCTTAGTCTCTGCTGGAGGCCTGTGTCACCACCACCTCTAAGCAGGAGAAGGGCAGAGGCTAATCCAGCACATGCCCAAAATTTATTAAGCAATACAATCTGTTGACACTGGAGGTGGCCAAAACGCGCAACAAACATATGAGCACCACACTCTTTTCAGGCACAAACAAAAGTTCCTATGTTTAAGTGTGACAATAAACTAAGGTGAGAATCTCACACGCAGTTAATCCAATGTGAAACGCACAAAGCCACAGGAATAATGGCCATGAACCGGAAGAGCCAGGAACCTGGGAAGTCTTTCATTCTTACTGCCTGCCCCACCTACCGGTATTCCACCCCATCCCCACCCCGGGGCGAACCCCATCAACTACAGGAGATGTTAGCTCCCAGAACCAGTGGAGAGGGAAAAGGTCCACACTGCTGCATTTGCCTGGCTTTCAAGTCCGACAGAGATCCAGTCACAGACCTAACCTGTAGTTTGGCCACTATTCAGGTACTGCAAACACAGGCAGCTCGTCAAACCCTTAGCAGACCACCAAGGCGCTGGTGGGAGGCTGCAGCCAGCTTCGTCGGTCACACATCACACTGACGGATCCAAGCCCTGGGCGGCAGTTCCAGAGGCACCCGCTTGCCAGACTCCACGCATTCCAAGCCCTCTCGTAGCCGCTGCCAGCTCCGTGGTTCCTTCCTCTGCAACGAGCCCAACGGGTCTGCCATCTGCTGCTTGGCACACACTGTATTTATTCAAGTGTTCTGCAAATTAGCCACAACACTCACCATTCCCTTCCACCGTATGTGGTCTATACCAGTAAGCATCACTTTAAAGGAAGTGGCGTTCCTTGGTTTTATTTCCTATCTGCACTTTCAAAGACTGAAGACACAGACACGCACAGTCCCCCTTTACCAGGACAGTGTTCCTTGCTGCACGGCCACTGGGGCACTGGCACGTTGCCGTTCCCATCCCGTTTCTTCTTCCTGCAATAGGTGCTCCTTCCAAGCTGGAGTCTCCTGGCCTTTGCCCAGCCTTTAGCTTTAGCAGAGTGCTGGACTACCAGAGGCTTCAGGCTGGGGAATCAGGATATTTGCCACTCAACAACTACAGGAAGGGCATGAAGGTAAAAGAAGAGCTACAGCAGGGGAGGCACCCAAGAAGCAAAGAGCAATGTGATTAGCTACTGAGTAGCTAATTGGGACACCTGCACCAGAGACGGGAAACAAGAATGTATGGATCTGCACTGTGAGATTTTGCTACTCTGAACAGAGCAACTTGCAGTAATTGTGGGACTGGGGGTCTCTTAATTTTGTTTGTTGAGTCAGCAAATCGTGTCTGGCCCTTCACAACCCCATGGACAACATTCCTCCAGGTTCTCCTGTCCTCCACCATCCCTCGGATGGCTGATGGATGTGGCCCTGCTTGGATGACCCGGACAGTGATGAGGAAGAGGGGTCCGAGAAGACTTGAAGTTCAGTGCAAGGCACCACCACTTGGCTGGAGCTGGTGGGAGCCGCTGAGAAATGACCCCCACTCCCCTTGGCTGAAGTTGTAGTTCCTGGAGCCAAAGCAGGAACTGCTTGAAAAATCATGGAGATCATTGTGCTAGCGGTTTGTCACATGTGTGTGCCGGCATGTGTGGTTCACAGATTCACAAAATAGCCAGGTTAGAAGGGGCCCGAAGGCCACTGAGTCCAACCCGCTGCTAGCGCAGAATGCCAGTTACTCCATCCTAATTGTCCCATTGCTCTTTGAATGCATCTACGTAGTGTGGAAGAGCACAAATCCCTCTTCCACACTAGATGCATTCTGCTGGTTCTACTGCCATGCAGCCCTCACGGCAGGAAATTCTTCCTTGCGTCTAGCCTGCTCCTGGTGTACTGTAGCTTAAGATCATTGTTCCACATCCTACAATCTGGGTTGAGTGCGAAGTCCTTTCCTTCTTTGTGACAGCCTTTGAGGTCTCAGCATTAAAGCTTCTCTGCCCATGTAACTGCTACATGACGGGTAGAAATTTGCCAGGTGATTTGTTTCTTAGCACAGAGGCTGATGACAAAAGCTTCACCTGCTGGCTTTCAGAAGGCAGAGTGAATGATGCTCAAAATTAAATTCTGCTAAGTGTTGCACTCCACAGAGTTTATTTTACTAGGAACTATCCAGCTGCTCCAGCAGACGGAGGTCTAACCTTCCACACATCTGCATCAGACAGCTCATGGGGGTGGACTTGCCAGAATCCACAGGGCCACCAATAATCACATGAAGAGGAGGTCTGAGTGCTCCGTATTACCTTCAGTTGTCTTCTCTGCCTAGCCACATCCTTCTGCCTAGTTGCATTCTGTGACCTCCAGCACGATCTGGTAGGGTGTCAGGGTGGTATTTTGGGCAGACCTCCAGGCCTGGGGGTACTTGGAAGAATGAGCAAAAGAGCCACTCAGCCCAGGAACGTTTCTTTACATGTTGAAATACGTGAGTGCTCTTTAAAGAAGTCAAGGTTGATGTTGTGGTGGGCAGACTGAAAGGAGCAGGAGGAAAACGGTGCTAGCTGCTTTGAGTTATTTAAAAGAAAAGGCTGAAATATCAAATACATGCATACATACATAAAATAGAGATACCCCAATTTCAGTAAGTGTATTACATCCAGCAGGAAACCATATTATCACTTAAAGGGGGTGCATAAGACCATTCATTCCAGAGCCTAAAATTGTGTTCTATAAGAACCATTTTTGTTGTTGTTCAGTCGCAGTCATGTCCGACTCTTCACGACCCAATGGACAACATTCCTCCAGGTTCTCCTGTCCTCCACCATCCCCTGGAGTCCACCCAACCCCACATCTACCTCTCCAGTGACCCCATTCAGCCACCTCAACATCTGCCATCCCCTTCTCCTTTTGCCATCTATTGTGCCCAGCATTAGGCTCTTCTCCAGGGAGTCCTTCCTTCTCATTAGGTGGCCAAAGTATTTGAGCTCCAGCTTCAGTACCTGACCTTCTAAAGAGCAGTCAGGGTTGAGTTCCTGTAGGATTAACTGATTTTATCTCTTTGCAGTCCAAGGGACTCTTAGGAGTAGTCAACTCTTCCTGACTCAGCAATCCTAGCAGCGCTCTTCCAAGTCAATCCCACCCCAATGGAAAGAGGACACCAATGGAAAACCAGGTCTTGCCTTCCTTGAGCAATACAAAATCAAACAGAGGCTTTTCCCCAATACACTTAGTGAGTTCCACCCATTTACAAACTCCCAACTCACACTCAGCTTGTTAAAAGCATATCTATGCGCATGTTTCTCTGAAAGGAAATCCCAGGGGGTTCTGCAATGCACTTAATTTCAGCCTAAGACACCAACTTACCAGGGTCTCAAAGCATGACTTGACCATCTCCTTTCCTTGTCCCATATTTTGGCTTGGGTTGGGGTGCTAAGTTAGCACAGGGAAGTGGGTGGGGATGGGTTCCCTTCTGGAGGATCTTTGTGCCCCTCAGAAAGATTAAGGTGGAGTTGGGTTTTTTGGGGGGATGGGGGTGGAGAAGGGGCAAATAGCTGAAGCTCCGCTATGGCAGGGGTGAATCATTCTCTTCCCTACTCCCAGCAATAGCCCCCCCCCCCCATGGGAGGGATTCAAGCCATAATCCCAGGATAGACCATCTTGAAAGGCTATGATCTTCTGACATGGAATAAGCCCTATTTAATGCACTGGCCTGCTGAGTGAAAATGCATGGTTGGAACTAGTGAAGGCTTCCTTTGACTCCAGGGGATACACGGAGCAGACAGTTTGTGGATGGGTTCCTAAAATAGCCAAGGAGTTTAGTACCCCACATTGGCCAAGTTCTGTTGGCACAAGAGACTGGGCCCCCCACAAACCTTTCCCTGGCAGCAAACCCATCATCCTTCCCTAATATGCTAAGGATCTGTTGCCCTTTCACGTCACCCCAGAGCCGCTGCCAGGGAGAGTCGCCTCCTAGCCTAGCAAAACGTGCTCACGGCCCTGGCCGTCCCGGGCAAACTGCGCTACCGATTTCCTACCTGCAGGGAGCTTTATCCACGGAGGGTACTCCAGCCCAGAACTGCAGCCAACCCACCTACCAAGGTCCAGAGCAGCAGAGCCCGGAAAATCTGTACGAGGTAGATGCACTGAACGTATGAAGCGGCATTTACGCTCTCGGACGAGGGCTTTGAGGATCTCGCCTCGCGCTTCCTCATTTCCTCGCGCTCGCCCACCCCCGCCTTTACCGATCCCTTCCTTTTATAGCTATCTTTCTGCCTTGTCTTCGCAGCTTTCTCCTCCTCTTTGCAAACCTGTAGCAGTGACGTTGAAGCTGCCCAACCCGGAAGCTTCGCTGCCGTGCAAGGGAGGCTGCGGGAATTTGGCTCCCCCCGTTTTTGGCATTGCAATTTGTCGGCTCGCGTCCCCCGACCCGGCCGCTCCATCAGCGCGGAGGAAAAACGGTGAGTGCCGCAGGATCCGGGGGGTGTTAAAAGCACGCTGCGTGGCGATCGCCTTGCAAGGGGGTTGCGCGAGTGCGGTAGTCCTTCAAATCGGTTGCAGCGGAGACGAAAAAGGCGTGTTAGTGGGTAGCATCCTTTTTATGGTGGGGGGGAGGCACTGCAATTCGGGGCCGATTCTCGAGCAAACGGGCAGAGAATGGAGAGCGATTCAGAAGCAACCATGTGCAGGAGTGGGGGGCGAGGAAGCGACACATGCCTCGCCTTCCCACCCCCGACAGAGCCTTCTGCAAGCCCCGATCGGGTGGGGATGCGCTGGTGGACGTGCACCCCGATCCTTTCCGTGGTCCTGGGGCGCGCAGTCCTGCGCCGCTCAAGGGGGCTTACGCCGGGTCGGCGCGCAGAGGGTTCTTCCGAGCGCCTCAATCCGCTCTACAAGCGACGCTCTTGGGGCGGGTTGCAGGCATGAAAAGGAGGCCAGGAGGCCACAGGAAGGGGGCGAATGTGTGAAGGGCAACGCCAGGCTTGGAAGGCAGAGGATGCATACGGCGGCACACGACCCTCCGTGCAGGAATCGCCAGCACGGGCGCGAACGTCGCGCTGGAAGCGGCAGCGGGGCGCTCCGGCGCCCTGCTCGGCCGTCATGCCCCGGCACAGAAATAGGTCGTTTGCATGTCGCTTCCTTTCACCTCGACCTGGCAAGCGGCGGAAAAGAGCGGCAGCCGAGCAAACCGTTGGGGCGCGGGGGGAGCGGTGTGCGTGGCGGCGGGGCGGGGGAAGTGGGCCCCTGTCAGGCCAGGCGGCCCTCCGACGCTGCGGGAAGGAGAGCGCGCGAAGACTCGCGGAAGATCCAAATGCGGGCTCCGGATTAGTTTTTTAACAGTACGAGTCCCACAGTGACTCCTCCCCGCCATGAAATTACTGCAAGAAGGCTGGGGATTGGGCGCCAGAAGCGCTTTAGCGTGTGGCAGGTTTCGCTTCTGGTCCTCAAGAACATTCCTGGGCTTCGGATTCTTTTGGTTCTTCCAGGGCTGTCTACTCAGATGTAAGTCCCAGTGAGTTCAGTGGGGCTTAGTCCTAGCTGAGCGTGAGATTGCATTGCGGGCTGGCTGCTGTGCGTGCGTTTAGTCGGCAAAAAGTCCAACAACTTCCGCACGCCGGGGGATGTAGCGCTTTTCCTGCATCAGGTTCCACCCGGAACGTGGCTTTTGCGCCAGGGTCGTGCCGGCTCATCTCACGGGTTCGAGCAGAACACGAAGTAGACTCGATGTCCCTGGGGTGTCCGTTCGCCTTGGGCAGAGGCACTCCTGCCGTCCTCGCCTCATGATAAGGGTGCCCTTTTGCTTTCTTGCTTAATACGCAAGACACTCGTTTTAGAGCGCAGTCGTACGCAGGTTGAGCCGGAAAAAGCCCTCCAGCTCCCAGCATTCGCTACCTGCGCCGGCTTGGGGATGCTGGGAGTCGTGGGACTTTTCACCCTGGCTACACATGCAGAGCATTGCAGACGTCGCTGCTTTTGGATTTTGCGTGCGCGCTAAAACCAAATCCGGAAGTCAGCCCGTGGAGTTCACGCCGCCGGCTGCGAGGCGAGCGCAGCCAGAAGCGGTAGCCTCAGGGCCCGCTTGCGGAATTCAAGCGGACTTACTCCCGAGTAAACTTGTCCCAGCCCCGTCGTGCGGCCGGCGCTCGGTCCGGTTCCGTGGCGCGTTCGGGATCGCCGCCTGTGCTTGCGCATCCAAGGCAGCGCTCGCATCACCTGCCTTTGAGCCCCCACGCGCGCTCCCGCTTGCTCTCGGGAGGGGTCCGGGGAGCGGCAGGCAGGAGCGGTACGCACGATTCGCCTGTGAGGAGCGAAACTTGCAAGGTTCCATTCGAATCCGACCATTTCTGCTGCCTTCCGGTGCTTCCTCGAAGCAGAGAAGCTTCTCCCACCTCATTTTTGTCGCGCTGTGCTTTCACTCCGCTTTCTCCTCCTGAAATACTATTTCAAAACACTAGTTCACCAAATAAAGGCGGCAGCAACAACAAAACGTACCGAATAAACCAAGATCACTACAGTGAAAAAGGCATTCATTACTTATCAGCCTGTAGTTGAAATACTTATTGGAACTCAACCCCTAAGGAAAGGGTAAAAACAGGATTCGTGGGACATGTAAAAGAGTGTTTGCGAGTGTAGGTTTGTGTTATTTTGCGTGCTGGTGTGGGTTAGTTGGAAAAATCTTGGCAACTGCGCTTGGTTGGAATTGGATCGGAGTTTGAAGAGCATCAACCTAGGATAGCAATGGAAACTATGTACCCAGGACATCTTTCTTACAGTTTGCATTCTTTGCTTGCTGCAGTTGCTAAGTGTTGTCATAGTCATATTCTCTGCAATTTTATTCACTGGAGAGTTCCAGTTACGTGCTGGGAATGACTGTATAATTGCTTAACAAGATCTTTATGCAGGATTCCAGGATCCTCAGGTTTGGAAGGTGAAGTAGCCTAGCTTTAGATGTTAGCACTAGTCCAACATGGCGTAATTTCAAACAATCAGCAACCATGGATGAGGTTATAAATACATAATATTTGAAGTAGCAACTTGCATAAAAGATTCAAAAGAAGTAAGTAGGCATTTGGCTCCCTTCTTAATGTGATTCAGGCAAAGAAGGTGACACAGTTGCAGATGATGATAAAAAGACTGTGTGCTTGGTTCAGTCCTTTTCAAAACAGCTGCATAGGAAGGAAAGCCCCCATTATCAAATGAATTTTTAAAAAATCTATAAATTTTTCCTGCTATTCGAGCACAAAAGTCTTGGGGATTGTTATGAGTTGTAAATGCTGAATGAGTAAGTGGCATTAGTACAGACAAATCAGGAACCAATTTTCCAGCAGTGTTCCCAAGTAAGCATAGCGTCTAATCAATGCATGCTCAAAAACATACTTGGGTCTGTTGGAATGTCTAGTGCAAATCAAATCATCAAGAAGGTTAGTGGCCCCGTACACAAAGGAGGGATGTGTCCATCCTTCAAGAAATCCCTGTTGAGCAGCACCCTAACATAATTCTAAATTTGGCACTGCCTGGGTCTGCGAAGAATTGCTCTCTTCAACCATGGGTTTTATCTTGACTGGATAAAATCTGACATCCGTTGCTCCATTTGGACAGGGATGGAATAGATAGATGCAGAGGAATTGTTTGAAATGAGAACAGAAATCTGAGCAAAAGATTCATACTTAGTGTAGCTATTCTAGTTGTCCATGACAAATTACTCTGTCCCCATTTTTTAGTATTGGAGTGAAGGCGCATGTACACTAACTGTTAGCTGGGTTTATAGCGTTCATGTAGGGAGGGAGAGATGCAAGCTCCCAGATGTTGCTAAGGCTTAATAAAAGCACATTTCTTTTCTTGCACAAAAGCACATTTCTTTTCTAAATGGGCTTTGTGACTGCAGGTATATGGATATTAATCATACCTGACTTAACAATAGTTTGCTTTGTACCCAGAGGTTTGCCTAAAACCATTTAGTGGTGAGATTCTGTCTTGTACTGTGGATACGGGATTTGTTATATAGAGGGTTTGCAGAAAATTTAACCTTATGTTCTGTGTGACCAACATGTATGCACTGAACACACATATTAGCACAAAAAGAAAGCAAACAGGTTCAACAGCTAACACATACACTGAAGGAGACAATGGGCAACCTTGCCTTCTACCCCTCTGCAGCTAAAAAGTTATTGAATTCTGATTGTTAGCAAAAGGAAATACTTAAGGACTTCAATAACAGGATCTGAAGCCTTGAAAAATATTGGATTTAAGCTCACTTTTAAAAGAAGGTATTTAAGATAAGGTCAATCAACACAATCAAATGCTTTTTCTGTGTGAAGGGGAAAATTGCTATGTGAATTTTTGCTTTATGTATATGATCTATGGTTCATCTTATATTTTCTGTCAAATGCCTACCTACATGGACTGTTGGTCTGGATGAATGTACTGAGTACTGTATTCAACCTTCAAATGAACACCTCAATAAAAATCATTGAATCCCAAGTAAGTAAAGATATAGGTGTGTAAGATGTTGGAGCTGATGAATCTGTATCAGGTTTTAAGATTACTGTGAACCATAACACTATGTAATTGGAGTTCTGGCTTTGATCAGAGCATGACTGAAAAAATCTGCAAGAAATGCAAGCAGGGGATGCTGAAAAATCCATCATGACCATCTCAACCAAGACAGGTCATCCGTTTAAGTTGTTCATCCCTTGGTCCACTTCTTCACAGATAACTCTAATGTCACCTGTGCTCTGATGTAATCATTGGAATAGGCAAGGAATCCAGAAAGTCCTTTATTTGGCTGACATGTGGCTATTGAGATGGAAATAATTCCTTGGAGAATTCCAAATCCTCATCTTTCCTAGCAGTAATGGTGTTTACTTACTATGCATCAGTGGCATACAGATGGGCTATCTCTTGTCTTTTAATTTAAGTACCTCTCCATTTTCATGCAAGAAGTCTTTCCTGCTTGTTACCCCTCTCAAATTATGCCTGTTTGGTATTCATCAGTGCTTTCATGATGTCTCTGGTGTCCAACAAATTCACTTTGTGTCTCACCACCCTCCCTTTTGTGAATATTTTATTTGCACTGGTTCTCTTACATTTTGTTCCAAGTCTTACATTTCTGTTGAAAGTTCTGAATACACTTGAACCCTCACTGTCAGAGCCTCAAATGCATCCCAGACTAATAATGGAGAGCAATCAGGATGAGAATGCTCAGAAAAAAATATTGAGCTATTTCTTGACTCAACTGATCAATGAAAAATGGATTTTGAAGCAGAAGCGTATTCCATCACCATGTGCAAGTATGATCTATTGGGTGTGCAGGGTGCAAGGTAACTGAGATCCAGACATGCTCGGACCATTAATTGCACCAGTATGAACAACTTGGTGATCCCTTGCTAAATTATAAGTCACTGTTTTACACTGGAGTACATCGTTGAATCTCTTGCACAGGCGTGCTATGGATCCACTA